CCCTGCCAAGTTGTTTTGTACTGGCTCTGTCCCTTGACAAAAGGCCATTGCTTCTTTCTCTTCTGTAAAAGATTCTCTTCTTCCACATTCTGGTAACTGTTATCTCCTCCTGTTCCTATTCTCTGTGTTTTTTCTATACCCTGCCCAAGTCTTTAAGCAAATACTCCTTTATCAAACCTTGCTTGAATTATTCTATCTTGAGTATACCATCTGGGATGTGGGATGCTGAATGATATTGGGGTGTGTGGGTATGTGCAGTCACATGTGCATGCTCCCATGCATATGTGTATGTGTGTTTCTGTCCATAACTCACAGAGTTTCTTTTGGGTTACAACCCTTCCTCCACTTTCAGTCCATGTGATTCAGGTAGAAATGACTCTACTCTTCTCCAGATCCAGGAGTTGACAGGTGACCCAGGTATATTGGTATTCCCTGACCACAGTTCAGCTCAGAGAAGCGCATTTGATCTAATTTGATTCAGTGAAGTTCAGCCTCTACATTAGATATCTTTGAAAGAGGTGCTCTTTCCTCTGTGATTGCTAAGCTGGTACTATGTAAGCGCTGATCTTCCTTTGATCTTTATCATCACTTAAGAGACCCTGACTAGAAATGAGGGACTACAAAGGAAAGTAGAGATGAAAAAGGATGAGAAACAGATTCCTAATGATATGTTTCAAAAACATGGATTCAACTGAAAGTGGCTACTTCTAAGTGTTAATATTTATTTTGCTTAGGTAATTTTGAGTTGAGTTCTGCAATTTGCAGCAGAAATTGTTTTAACTGATGTATTCCTTAGTCCTCCCTTTTTCTAGGTGTGTTCCAATTTCCACCTCTGGCTACCTACATAATGCTTCTTTGAACTTTTTCTAATTCCCTAGATTCTTCCGAAATTTACCTTTCTCTACTCCAAAGGAATATTTCTATGTATATATTCTCTCTTGGACAACCTTGTAAAAAGTGTATCAAAAATATGTTTTACCCTGGAAAAAAAATTGATCTCAAAAAGACATTGGCAGTGGAGTCAATATACTATATTTACAACCTTACTGACACATCTGAGGCTTTAAGATAGGAAAGATTCAATTGGTGTCATTTTAAATCTATAGACCTTGAACCATGAAAGTACATGAAATTATTATGAGATTACTTCAAAACTATCTTCTGTTTATACTTTTTACTACAGCTCTGTTGGTTAACCTACCATATCTTGAACTAAAAAGATAAGCTGAAAATGTGATAAACTCAGATGATAAGATGTTAAAGGTACAGAAATCTAAGAGAACAAGAGAGTAAAGTAAGAACATTATCATGGAGGTAACAGATAAAAATTAAGTGTTAAGATAGGCATAGGATCTTCATACCTTCTGGATTGTGAAGCTTACTACTCCCACTGCTTAGCAACATTCACCAGGTGCCAGAGAAGTCAAAATATATGTCTTAAGCCCCAGAGTTTGTTAACACCTTTAAATGTACTTTCCAATTCACTAAAAATACATTTTAAAAATATGTGAACTGCTGCTATTTGAAATTAAGGAAAAATTCATTCATTTAAAGTAAGCTTTTTTAAAAAAAGACTCAGCTTGTGTTTATAAAACCTGACAAGTACAAAGAAGAAAATTTGTTAACGCTCAGATTTTAAAAAAAGAAACAATGGTTGGGGAAACAATAAGCTAGTCCTGTGAATCTGAAATGTATTTTAGCATTTCAAGACATAATTTTTTTAAATGTCAGAAATTTAAGTTTCCAAGTAAATGCAAAGTTATTAATACCTTCTTGTCAAAGTGTGTCCTCTTTAATTAGTAAGTTTATTTGCAGATATTTATTTGCCATTGTTTCACAAGCTTCCACCCTTCTGTGTTCCATCCACCCACATCAACACTGGGAGTGATGCTGGGGTTCCCCAAGGGACTGACAATGGCTGCAGAAGTGCTCCCCTACCCTCCCCTTCACCGCACACGAGCAGCTGATTTCAGCAGCTGTTTGTGATCCCTGGCAGAGGTTAATTCCTTTATGCCTTGGGACAGCTGCTTGGGGCGGCAAGTGTTTCCTTGGGCAGCTGGAAAGAGGACAGGCTTTACCTACAGCTGCTCCAGAGATGGAGATTTTCGCCAGCTGTAGGGGAGTGCAGAGATCCAAGAGCCCCTTGTTTATAAGTCTGCCTTCCAGGAGACTCAGTCAGAGCTGCACTTTAATTCTTAGACTAGCAGTGTCACCAGTTCTACTGACAGTGGACAGGCGCTGTCAGGAAACTCAGTCAGTGAATTCATACAGGAAAATGTGTTTGGTCTATTACTGTCTCTTTGAAAAATAATGCCTTTGCCTGCTATTTTTATGTAATTCAAAGTGATGGAAGGAATCATGTGCTGAATCTCCCTGGTTAGCCCAGCAGCCCTCTGCTTTGGCTGCTCGTGGAAATCACCAAGAGCTTAAAAAAGTATGGATGCCCAGATCCCACTCTCAGAGATTCCCATTTCAACAGCCTAAGTGGCAGCCTAGGCACCGGGATGTTTAATAGCTTCCCAGGTGATCGTCATGACCAGCCTAAGTTGAGAAGCACTATGTTAGTCCTACTTATTCTCTGAAATTGTTCTCAGAACCACCCTATTGTATTCTCAGTCAAATCTAGAGCATCCTCCTTTGTCTCATACACCTGTTTGGTTCATAGCCAAACACTTTTTTAAAATTGTCACCTAGCAGTTCTTAGCATTTTATGCCTTCTCCTCCCACTTTGTTCTTCATTTTCTAACCATTATATCAAGACATCACTTGTTTTTTTGCCTGCTGTGTGCCAGAGATTTGTAAGAAGCTAATAATTCCTAAAATCAACAAAATAAGGCGGTGTGCTAATTTTATTTTTCACTTTCTCTTGATCTTTTTTTTCTTTTCCCATGCCCATCATGGCTTGCCTTCCTTTATTTAGAAGCCCTCAAGGAAATGAGGAACTCGGACAAACATTGGCTTAGATATTATATTCATTTTAAGATGATGTTCTACTCTGGTATCTAATAATTCTCAGAAAAAATGGAAAGGCTTAAGTAGTTAAAAATGTCCGTCAGTACGAGTAGAGCAGGGGGATAGGTCCCAGAGGATGCCTTGTGCTCACCTGTAATTTGAAAAAATTAAGCAATAAAGGAAAATGTCTATGATCTTATGAAGAAAATGAAAATTTAAAAACAAAAACGGCTAGTAGTTAGGAATTAGTAAAAAGTAATTAGCGGGCATTGTTCTCTTCTTTACTTTTCTGTTCTCTCCTTGGGCTCTGAAAATAAAGCTAAAAATGCATGAATGATTTTATTTTAATTTCAGTCTGATCTCTCATGTTTCCTTGATCAGCCATCAGTAGTGGTGAGTTTTCTCTGAGAATGGGTCTTGAAGATTTAACAGAAATAGCTCTCTGTATTGCCAAAGTGAAATGGAGAGTTTATCCTAGGATGCTGAGAATGAAATGTTTTTTCCACCCCCACCCAATAAAAGGAAAAAAATGGTGTGACAATAAGTATTTTCGGTGTTGGGATTACTTAGATTACATTTTTACACATTTTTGTTTCACAATATAATAATTTAACTCACCTACTTCATTGAGCTTTCGTGGGTAGAATCATAAAATTGCAAAAATAAGCATTGATTATACACTAGGCAAGCTTCATGAGAATGTCCTATCTAATTCTAATAAAGTCCTCCTGAGGTAGGGTAATTAAATAGATCTTGCAGATAAAGAAACTGAAGGCCAGGGAAATTAAATAACTTCTACACTGCCACTCAGAGGAAAGTGGCCTTGTAGAAATTCAAATCTAGAGCTGCCTGAGCCTAAGTCATGAGAGGTTTTCTGATTCAAGGACTAAACCTTGGATTCCAGGTTTGAGATGTTACACTTTGGTGATACAAGCTGTAGGTATAGCTTTGTGCTCAAGAGATTGGACTTTGGAGACAGAAGGATAAGAATGTGAATTTTGGGTTCACTGAATAATAGCCTCTATAAGCCTCAGCTTTTTCAGCTAAAGAATGGATTTCTTCCTACCTATTTTATGGTAGAATTGAATCCTTTAAGGATTCAATGAGGTATTATGAATAAAGCACTCAACTTGGGCTAGCAAAGAGTAAATATTCAAAAACAGTAATAATATTATTATAATTGATATTATTTTAGTATTTAGCACCTAGAATAAATTGTTTTTGATACTTAAATTGTTTGATAGTCTTACTTTGAGTCATTAGCTATTCATTCATTATTCAACATACATTAATTGAGTACCTACGATGCGTCAGCACTGAGAATACGTTTTTCAGCACTGAGAATACGTTAGTGAACCCAACAGATAAAAATGTCTGTTCTTGTGGATCTTACATTTGTGCATTAATTATCTTGCCTTTCTATTAGCAAAAAGACTCAAATAACTATTAGAGAATTAGCTATTTAAAACAAAGTCCAGCTTATCTTTTCCATTCTATTTGATATCAAGTATTTCAAAGAGAGTTCTTAATTTTAGCCATAGATAAAGTATGAATTTCAGGCATGAAAAGATTAAATGTTGCTAACAGCTATCCCAAATTAACCCATTGAAATTTGTTTGACTTAGAAGAGGTACTAAAAATCAATTAGCACGGTATAATGGGGCCTGCATAACTGTTTTATTCATTCTCTGGATCTTTCACCTGAAACCATCATGTTTTAAAATACAGAGTCAATTGATTAAGCATGGTACATTCACCTTATATCAGCAGCACTGTGGAATGTGCTCAGTAGTTCAGCCAGGAGCAAGACAAAATGAGGCTGTTGAAAGCCAAGTGCAGTAGTTGATAGACCTCAGACGGAGGTGGCATGTCATTTGTTTGGAATTTGTGGTTCTATTATCAGAGCAGCAAAGGGCAGAAGGAAGAGTTGCATGGAAATAGGTTAAAGTAAGGGAGTGAAAATCTGAGGGCTAACATGCTTACGTTTTACTTGTTTTCCTGTGGTTTGTCTGTAACTTTCTGTCTTTTTCTTTCTCTTGGTGCTGTAGGAATTGGAGATAGAAAAATCTGAACTAATCTGAAGAATAGTAGGGGATCTGGTAAAGAATTTTGGGAAGAAATCCAGGGAGGTAAAATAAGATAACATTGTTCTGTGTAAGTTAGAATTATTTGATTTTGGGGGGTTTATTTGGTGAGGAAATTTGGCCCTGGACTAACATCTGTTGACAATCTTCCTCTTTTTACTTGAGGAAGATTGTTGCTGAGCTAACATCTGTGCCAGTTTCCCTCTATTTTGTATGTGGGATGCCACCATAGCATGGCTTGATGAGCAGTGCGTATGTTCATACTCAGGATCGGAACCCGTGAGCCCCAGGCTGCCAAAGTGCAGCGCGCAAACTTAACCATTATGCCCCGGGGCCAGCCCCTGAATTATTTGATTTTTTAAAAGCTTTTTGAAAATCAATTCAAAATGTAAACTCTTTAGAACAACGTAATCAAACTGTCCTCATCTCCCATGACTCCACTCCGTGGAGGCCTTCTGTCCAACACATACATTGGAGGTACTGAATTCCCGTTTCTTAGCCTGTACCTGTATGCATAACTATTTTCAATCATTGCTAACATGTCACTAACTGATCAGGCTAAAAAAAAATCTGTTACTAGCTAAAGGAAACAATCAATGTTGTAGACGCACTTTGAGAAGAAGAGGAGAGGAAATGAAAGAGAACAACTCTTTATGTTACTTAACTAAAAGTAACAATAATTTTTTGCTTGAAAATGCATGTGCAGTATGTTTTTTATTTGTGATGACAGTGAGAATGGTTTTAATCAACGGTTATATTGATTGTGCTAGATTTGCACTTGCAAATCATTTCTCCTCCATTCTCTTCACCCTGCCACGGGAGACTGTTCTGTGTGGATTACTTGCCTTCTGGCTTCCAGGCGGGGTTGGCCAATGGGGAACCTCAACAAGAAATGTAAAGGTGGTCCCCCGGCGGCTCCGTCATTGTGAGGTTGCCTTGGGCTAGCCTTATAAAGGCTTCAAGGAGAGGACCTTTCGATATAACTTCCTCCTTCTGGGTTTTGATAACTACTCCTTGCTCTTGCCCCTTCAGGCCTAGAGATGTAGAGCAGGCTGCTGTTGGTTTTCTTGCACTATGCTTACATCCTTTTAAATAGGACCTCTAACTTCAGAATTATTCATTCTCTACCCTCTTTCCTACCCTTTCTTGCCCCTGCCTCTTTCTTCCCTTCTAGGGCTCCAGTTTTACTCCAGCCTTCACCTTTCCCTCTGCTTAGGAAAGGTGATAAGCACTGAAGCCTTGGGGCATAAATCACAATTGGTCTAGCAAACCATTTTGAATCCTATTCATTTTTCCAATGATTGCTTTATACAAGTTCATATGACCTAGATATGGCCACTGAGGCCTGAGGGGAAGACTGCCATCCGAGAGTTTTTGGAGGACTTTTCCTTCCCAATAAAAAGAGACTTTATAAAAGAAAAGTCTTCCTCTTCTAGGATAGATGCTGATGTGTCTTTTTGCGATACTCAGAGCTGCTACCTCCATCTTGCAACCATGAGGGAGACGTCTTGACACACTGCGTATGGCTGAGCTGAAAGATGGAGAGCACCCAGGCCCTTGCTGAGGTCATTGTGCCTTTGAATTTTCAGTCCTGGAACTACCTGCCTTGTTATGTACAATTGTGCACCCATTATTTATTAAATGACTTACAGTTACTTTTACTGTCATTTATAGCTCAAGCATCCAACTAATTATTGGGATTATTTTTCTGAATAAAAGTGATCTAGAACAAAAGTTTGACCTGCCAAATACCATTTCAAATTACTCTTTAAAACCATAGGTGGTCTGTTAACCTAGGAGGAGTGGGCAGGAAATCAGGAATTATGGTTTGTTCCTTAATTGTGTGTATACTCATATGGCATAAGCATAGTTAATCCTATTTCTTTGAAAAAGTTACCTTAGATTAATGAGTAAACCTTTAATATGAAGGCATTTCAGCAGTTGGATGATAACAGTAGAAATTATCTTGCAGTGTAGTTGTCAAAGAAAATCGAAGCTCGTCTTGTCTTAAAATATTTAATTACACATGTCATTGGCAAGAAAAAAGTCAGAACAGAGATATTTTGCAAGTAGAAATAATTATTTCTATGGGAGAAAAATATGAGTTATTCCTTACAGATAGCCTTGGCTATTCCCTGTCTTAAAAACCATGATCATTCTTATCTTCCGGATTGTGAATGTTCTCTTTTTTCTCTAGAATCCCTGTTCCATTCTCTTGGCCTGCCAGTTCTGTCAGTCCTTAATGCTAATCCTCAGAGTGTATGTGCTCCAATAAGCTCTTTCTGGACTGTGCTTTCCTTCTCTTTGGAGCCATAGCACTAATTCACTACTTCCTATAATTAATAGCACTTGGACTTAGGCACCTAGAGGAATGTTCAGCCATCTTGCTTTGGGATAAAATTAAACATTTTGAAACTGCCCTACAAGTCCGTGTAAGACCCAGCCCTCACCAGCTTCACCAGCCTCATCCTGTCACAGGATGATTTGTGTGACCACTTGGGCCTTAGTCTACTTCTTTGAACACCGCTCAGCTTTCATCCTGCTTTTCTTCTTGCCAGGGGTGCTCTTCTTGTCACGCTCCCCTTCACCTTGATAAATCCTGCTCGGTCTTCAGACCCTGAAGAATTAAGCTAGTTTATCCATTCTTTGCTCTTTTAGTCTCTTGGGCCATCCCTGGGAATACTCACTACAATTATAATTTTGTGTATGTGCTTGTAACCTAAATGTCAGCTTCATCCCTTTGAGAAACTCCTTCCTCTGGTATATTTGGGAAAAGGAATGTTTGGCTTCTGGCCATTTTGAAGGCAGTCACTTGGCATGGACTTTACAATGCAATACTGTGAATATTATTTGCTTTTCCTCCACTAGCGGGACTCTGGGCTCACTGTCTCCTTCAGCACTTGCTGCCATCCCCACCAGGAGGTGATGTGAGAAAAGTCACAATTCTCTTTGCTGAACTTTAACCTAATTACCCACAATCCTACTAACAAAAGGCTATCCAAGTGTAATATACTTTACTAAAGAGTTAGGGATTACTAGAGGTAAATTATAGTACAGGAGAAAAACGTCTTGAAACTATATGTGAAATATCACTATTCCAAAAGTTCAAGGAAGAGAATCTCACATAAGTTCTCCTTTTTGGGCAACCTTAATTTCTTACCCCTTTTTCTAGTCTTGAGTTCTGCCCTCCCTCACACACTGGAGAGTAGGATCTTGTCTTCACACTATCCTGGGGTAAATTTTGATTTATTTGTTCAATTCCTTGCTCAGAAGTGCTGATCTTGCTTTATAATTCTTGCCTTTCTATTTACAAGGTTGAGTGAAGGCAGACAATTAGCCACAGTGGATTGTTTCTTAAAATGTGAGTTCTGTCTAAAATAAAACCATGGAGGCATTCTATAAGACCACTTAGAGAGGGTTCCCACTTCAACGTAGCTAACCTTAGCAGACTTTCCACGCCTGTGAAATGAAGACGTTTCCTCTTTCTTTGTAAATCTCTTGGTAGGAACTGTTGGAATACATTACACATGTGCACACACACACACACACACATGCACACACACCCTCCAGGGAAGACAACAATTCTTGTAGACTTAGCTTAGATCCATATTAAGGAATAAAAACTTTTCTCTAAATCTAACTTAATCTGTACAGTTTACCCTCTCTGCAGTAGAGATGGCAGTTGGTAGATACAGATAGATGACACTTTTCCTTTGTTCCCTCTCCTGCTTTTAGACCATGCTCGGAAGCTTCTCAATACATAAGAACTACATAAAGAGCAGGACCCATGATTGTGCCTTTTCAAACAAAAAGCCATCTACTCTTTAGAAAAATGAACAAGAGAAGTAACCAACTATGGGAAGCTTTGAAATGACAATTTCCCCTGTGCCTTGAGCCAGTTTAAATTCCTGGGAAGGGTGCTCTTTTCCACTGGTCTCTGTAATAGGATTTGGGGAAATCTTAGCATTTATTTTCTTCCCTATCTGGGAACAAACTCCAGTGAGAGGTCTGGGAAGGAGACTGTTATTCCATCAGCACATGAGATAAAATTGCTTAATGTCTGTCTCCTGTGCTCAAATTTAGTTCTTAAAGGCATAAATGATGTCTGCCTTATTCACAGCTTAGCCCTTGGGGATAGCATAGTATCTTGCATAGAGTAGGCCCCCAATAAGTACGTGTGAAGATGAAGAAATGGAGGAATAAAGGAAAGAAAGTTGGACCTAGGAGGAACATGAGAGATCTTTCCAAATAGAGATACAAAGACACAGAGTGGTTACGTAACTCGATTGACATCACACAGGTAATGAGTGAAAGCACTGGAAGTGGAGCCTAGGTTTCATACCCCACACTTATGTCAGCACACTTTGACCAAGACATTATCTAATTCACTGCCCCAGCAATGGAACGTGGGGCTACTTTGCCCCCAGTAAGAGACTTAACAAGCCTGCTCTGAGATTTATTCTGGGGATAGTAAAGGGAGATCTCAGTCCTTTAGCATCTGAAAAGCAGGCAGAGTATCAAGCCAATAACTGAGGTATGGAAAGTAACATTGGCAGTCACCAATGACCCCTTTAGGGGAGAGGAGGAGGGGCCCTCAAGGGGCTAGAATCCAGGCACAACTGATGATCAGAGTGTATAGAATAAATTTCTCGAAAGAGGGAACTACAAGTACAAAGATGTTGAGAAAGGAACACACTTGGCAAGGCCAAGGACCAGCAAGGGGCCAGTGTGGATACAGTGGAGTGAACAAGTGTTGTGGGCCAAGCATCCAAAACTAGGCAGGGCCCAGGCCCCCTGGGGCTTTGTAAGCCATGGCAAAGCATCTGGGTTTGATTCCAAGGTCAATGGAAAGCCTTTGAAAGGCCATAGAAAAGGAAGAACCGTGATCTGATTTTCACATTTTAAAATCATTCTGGTCAGAGTGTGAGGAAGGGGAGGCTGCCAGGGAAAAGAGCAGAAGCAGCAAGCAAAAAGTGACCGCAGTAGCCCACTTGGACCCTGAGGGTAGGCTTGGACGAGGGAAGGGCCATCTCCCTCCATGTCAC